GAGGGTCTGAGATGCAAAGATATGTACGTAAAGCATCAGGAATACGAGACTACGAGGTCGGCAGTCGTGGGGGGATGCACGTACAGAACTCTAAGCGCAACCGCACACGTGCTACCAACTACAACCTTTTAACGCTACCTATCAACATATTTCCTATATTATTGTCATTATTTCGTAGCAAGCGACGGTCACATTTTGTGCGGCGTGTGGAATATACAATATATGAAAACTGCAGGATATGTACCAATGGCAGCGTTTAGTGGCTATGCCCGGTAGCCTGTGTGTGGCTGGGCTTACAGACAAATCCTAGCAAAGCACTCGGTACGAGTTTATTACCCTACTCATATTTACACAATTCGAGTGGGTGTTAGCGGTCTACACGCGACCGCCGGCGACATATTCCCTTTAGTCCATATTTTGCAACTTTGAATCCATTTACGATTCTTCTTATTTATTTGCATTGCTTTTTGAAGAGATCAAAGGGACGGACTCTCACGGATCATATTTAAAACTTGTTTATTGGTACCAACGACTACACAAGATCTGGAGATCGTTAATAAAATTAATTTAAATAAAATTAATCCATAAATAAATAAAGATCAATTAGCGAACAACGCTTGTCAACGTTATTTAGCGATAAATTCGGGAGTTAATTAAAGGGTACTATCTCTTTAGTCCATCGCTTATGTTTAGTATTCGGCTCAATAAATTCGCGAATTTACTTTAATCTATATTTTATTCGCGTAATGAACGAAGACAACAACCGCCATAAAGAACACGAGGCCAGCCCGAGTGATTAAGTGTCTCATTTAAATGCAGTCTCCCGATGCGGACGTCTCAAACGAAAAGGGAACGGTACCCGCGGAAAACGGAAGACGGGCTCCTCGCAAAAGGAAGAAGAGATATTTAAATTAGCGAGTCGCTTAAAAAGTGCACTAACAACATTAACAAATGGAACAATGGTAGAGTACACAAAGGAGCGGAATAACCGAACAAACCCGTATAAGTCTTCTAACTTGCTACTTGCTCTACATCTTTCCCGTATCTTACTCCCGGCTGTAGCTGTGTTGAATCTGTACGTAGGTATACAGCAATTTTGCCCGCATTTCGACGTGTTCAATTGAATTCGTACTAATGAAATGCTCACAAAATTGACGAACGAATAAAGATTAAAGTGAGCTTTCGATTTTCAATTAATTGAAAAGTATTATATCTATCAAACTTAAAAGTTATATTACGCTTATAACATTTGATAAATTCAAAACAAAATGTGGCAGAAAATTATCAATAACAAAAGATTTTTTAATTATTTAAAGTTATATTATGTTTCCATAAGTATTGATATATAACACCTTTTTTATATCTTAATTTTATCATTGCAGTCACTTATAGATGAATTAGAAAACTCACACAGTAATTTTACATCAAACTTTAGTAAGTGAAAATTTTCAACTTGAACAGGGCACTTTGTACAGTTCGTAAATTGTAGTCTCACTCAACTGTGTCTGTATTTTATGGGTGTTGATGATAACTTACGGCTCCATTTAATCCGGTTTAAGACCGTTGAGTTCTGGAGGTTACGGCACTTCGTAAAATTACTCTCGTTTAAATTGAGATTTAGGTAATGCTAGGGAGAGTACGTCTAGACGTAACGAAGTTATAATTACAATATTCTGTAACTTAGTGTTGTTCTTATTTCTATCGGGGACACCCTTGGCAGGACGGGTGAAAAGTGTGTGTAGTGTTGTTCTTTAAACAGTATGGACTAATATATGAATGAAAAAAAAAACATGTTGTACTTTTTTAAAAGTAATATTTCGAGTCACAATATTTAAAAAGTCAGGTAAAGATCGTTAACTGATAAGGCCGCCCGTTGTATTCAATACTTTATAATCATCTGATTACTGCTATATTCATTTTCTCATTAGTAATATTAACATTAGAAACAAAACTCCGCATCTGAACTAAGACTTTAAAGGAACTCGTATAAGATCAAGAGTACAACTAAACTCTATAGCTAAACCTAATTAATTGAAAAGTACTTTGTGTTCTAAGTTGTGGAATCAATTTCAAAGTAGACGTTAGAACGCCTCACTGAATTAGATCCCGTTAATAGTGGATTTCCTTATCGCACTCTCTGAACCACTGTGCCAATTTATTACGAAGCTCGTTTTTTACTCCCCTGATGTAATGTAAGGGAGGCGAAAAAGAAAGAGATTTATCGTAAACTAGCTTTGCAGAAAGCTGAATGTGTAATATAAGACATATTCGGAATTGACAGGAATTTGTAGATTTACTACAATTTAATGATAGCATTAACGAAGAAATAAGATTATTTTTCATTGATACTTAAGCTCTTTATTACAGTAAAAAATCTGTAATTGCGCGTCAATATTTTAATGATAGCAGTAACCATTATATGAGTACTTATTTGTCGACTTAACACTTTATCGTCAAAAATCAGACTCCTTAAAATATGGGGCCAGGGGACATTACTTTATAAGTAAGGGATGGTGCGGTTAATCCGGCGCCGCCCAAACAAATTAGGAACAACATTAATATATCCTATATATCCTACAACTTCTCCGCAATAAGCAAAATGTATTAGTGTTATTTATCTTAGCTCGAGCGCCAACAAAGTTTTAATTGCAAGCGCCAATACAATTTGCGTACAAATGAATTTATTCGCTGAATTCGTAGTGCAGTCGTGTGCGAAGCGCTGCGCTGGTGGCAATGGCGTTAGGGCGGGCGGGCGTCGCCAAAGCGCGGATTATCCGCGTGTGTGCTGCCGCTAATTGCGGACACCGACAGACCTAACAAAACGACACTACAGCACTATAGTGCGTATGAATCGAACTCAAACAGTGAACTGATAGCTACTCGATTTTTATTTCGGTCTCAGACGATAGATTTCCTCCGATTTCATTCGGATACTATCGAGCTAGGCTTCATTCGATGCAATTAACGCTGCACAATGACCATATAAATCTCCCCTGAATGCTGCGCTCATTCTATGCTCTGTGTCCACAGTTTATATAGTATAACAGTATGTGCGGTTAAAACAGATAGGAGCGATAAGAAAGCAATCTATTAGGAGGGCTCCGGGAAAACAAACCTAAATTAACGACACACATTAAAGGAAACATTGATTGTATGATTTATATGGCCACTTACCTCCCTTCAGAGATAGCGGGGCCTCGTTCTTGCCTGTACGGCTGGAGCCGAAGAACAAACAAGCCACGAGCGCAGATTACGCTCCGAATAAATCAATGTAACGCCGTGTTAAAATATTTAAGCTCACGATTAATGCTGAGCGCGAATATTCGTCTTATCGGAACCAACCGCGCTCGTCGCAGCTGTTCTGGCTTCCAATGATTGTCGGATTGTAAAACATATTAATCACTACAATGTACAATGGGTAAAATGTTTCGGTGCTTTAAAATAAAGGATTTACCTTTTTCTGAGTAAGAAATTCAATAATTGTATCAATTCAAAGTTAATGTAATTGTTATTGCATTCATTTATAAATTCCTTATCATTAATACTATATAGACATCGTACCTATGGAAAACCTCCCAAATCGAGAAGCACAATCGATATAGCAATATATTGAAGGAAGTAATAAAATAAAAACGATTTTACATCTCCGAGGAAAAGGAACATTTTTGTAGAATGGGAAAAGTCGCGAGCGACTTCTCATTTCGCGATAAAATCGGGAACGTTTTACGACAATCTGCTATTCGATTCCCATTAAACAACAATCTACGAAACTTTTGGTGATCTAAATCGTTTACCTGGATTTTATTGCCTCAATCAAATGAGTTCTAGACATATATCGAACTATATTCTTTATGTTATTTAAATGGGAATGCAATATAAAAGTTTGTAAACATAAAACGCAAATAGCTCTACTAATCAAATCACTTAAAATTATGATTACTTTCATAATTTCATAATTATTAAGTTCATAGTAGGCAAGGAGTTATAATACATATTGATACAAATTTAGTTTCGTACACTACCTTTGACTTGATTCAATAAATACCTATAAGATGGGAGTAACCTGGACAGATCATATGAAAATAATATTTTATAAAAGGTTATATCTTTTTATTTCAACATTTCAAATATAAAACAGGGCCCCAGATTCGAGGTGACCGCGAAACCGTCTATGTTTCATTATAATGAACAGGTCACGTAGCTCATTCTGTATTATTTCGCTTGGACTCCTCTCGTGACATGAATATTATAGCGATCAGGCATAAGGTTTCCTTAGCTCCGGAGCGTCTTCGGACCCTCAACAAATAAACCGTTTTACGCACGATTGTACAGGATTGATTCATTACCCTCTGCGTTACTTTTGCTTACTGATTCTTAAAAATGCTTACCCAGCTTTATGTCGAGATAACGTCACGCTGTTATTTTATTCTAATAATCAATATTAGGATTGTCATGGTCGTCTGGTGTCAATTGAGACTACTATACTAGTAATAGATAAAAATTCGTTCGGTTGTAAGACCTATTTATATAGTTTTGTATATCTATATTATTGTGTAATTATGTAGAACTATCTACGGGTGAGTTGCAGAACTAAACTTTGTACTGAAATATATATGTGAGCTTGACTCCTTGGCGGGTAAAAATGTTTTTACTTATAAACTTAGCATTGTGTAACTAAAACACTTTAACTGTTTAAAACGCGATATTTATTAGTTAAACTTATTTGGAAATTATTTTAACTATGGCCGTTTCGGATGCTTTGCAGCAGCCGTGGTCACGGGGAGCCTGTTCCTTGCAGCAAATGTCCCCCATCGATGTATATATCACGTTTTAAACCGTATTTTTTTTATTTAAATATGTACTACTCGCGTAAACTAGAGACAGTACTGTATCATTATATTTATAATTAAAACTGTAAATGTTATAAAGTATAGTAACGAAGGAAAACGTATAAGTTGTCCTGGTACTGAGACCAAGCTAATTCGCTAGATTAAAACTTGTTAAGATACATTAATAGAGTACCTGGGATTTCCGCGAAGCGCGGCGTGGTGCAGAGCGTTGAAGCCATTATTGTTCGTGAGTGTCATGTCCGCTCCGTGGTCCAACAGCAAAGTCAATATGTCGTCGCGTTTCTTTGATATAGCATCGTGTAACGGTGTATCTCCGTCAGAATCCTGAAACAAATATCTTCTTTACTTAGAAATATGAATCGCTTGTCTTTACATTTAAAAACATTACACTTAAACTTGAGCGATATATTTGTTTTCGCATTAAGCGCATTATAACAACATATAAACCTTATCTATAATAGGCATGACAGAAAAAATACAATAGCTTTTCCCATTTGTATGCGGAGCCCTAAAAGTAAAAAAAAATGAATTTACAAGCTGTCTTATCTATTGAAAACTTCACAGTCAGAGTATTATATGACTGTTCCATTATTGAGAGGCAAGTCACGAGTAAAAATAGATTCATATCGAATAAAAAAATCTAAATATGAGACTCGTCTAGAATACCGCGACAATTTTCTAAAATATCAAACCTCCCGAATGAATAATAGAAGCGACGGAGAAGGCGTTTAGGGTGTGGATTATGGAGACTTGCATAATTTATAAGCGTCTATAGTATTAAAACGGGCAGCGTAAGACGCGCAAGGATTAAAGCTGGGATATACCCTATGTACGAGCGCAGAAAAATCAGGGGTCTTAGTATAGCACAGTCACAAAACCATAGGGAAGTTCGAAACGAAAAATGTATGATTATGCTCGAAATATTATTACTTTCTCGCGATAGCTTTAAATGAGTTAATCAATAGCAAATTGTTAAGAGTAAAATTACATTTTGTTAAAGAACAAATTCGACAATGCGACGAACACGGTAGCTCAGTTAGTCAAAGTAACAGCTAGTGTCGTCAATCTAAAACTAATTTTAATTTATGTATTTCAGGCCAGTGTATCCCCTATATTGTTCTTACAAAACTTAGTAATCATTTCGTAATTCTCGACGGGACTAAGGCACCAGAAACCGTGTAGCGTTCTGTGTTATTGAATGAGCTGCACAAAAAGCGCGGCCACTACGTCATTATCATAATCACTACGCTACGTGCCGCTACGGTGCCGCCCAAGCCGTTTTGCTTTGTGAGTGTACATTAAGAGACTGAATCTTTGTGCTTTGTCATTTTTCAATCAATTTCGCTGAGGGTCTAATACAACAGTCATTAGTGCGGAATTGTTTCTTATTATTTTTTTAATGATAGATGAGGACAGACTTGGCATGGGGTTCACTGGTTTGATATTTTACGTTATACACGTTACTTTAATACCTAAATGTATATAAGTATGGCGAGGCAATATTTAACACGCAAATGCGATATGTGGAAACTATTGACCACTGCGCGATTTCTAGTCCGTAAAAATACCCTAGATCATTAACACGGAATAACAAATTGCATTAAGCGAATAAATAATCCCATTCGACATCGGCGAACTAAAATTAAACAAACTTTATGCAATTTAGCTTAACTGGACAGAATGTGGTATCGACAACTCGACACTGAGTCCAGCTATTAGGCAGTAATTCAGTGGAAGCTCAACCACAGCGTCAGAGTAATTCCGTACAGAATAGCAGCATTAAATATTAATCCTCTTGGCGTATAGATGACCATTACAGCCTGTAATTCATGTCATCCCAGGATATAATTATATGCTTATACTTTGTCTAGTATAGGATGATACATCAATATAGTCAATATTGGGTAGTATATAATCGTTTGTTAGTTATCGATTATATATATTTCATTCATAAAAGGTAAAATCCAAAATCGTCTAAGAAACACATTCTATGATTATTCTAATGTCTGTTCGAATCCCACGGAAACAATATGGAAACTATTCGGTAGGGCAGGGCACAGAAGTCTGACTAATTACTTTGTTATTAAAAGTCTTTTAGTCGTTTATTTAAAGTCTTTTATACAAATTGTTATTAGATTGTAACTTAGCACTTAAGTAGACATAAGTGGATATTTTTGTAGTTGTTGTTGTACAATATTGAAATCAAACATTTTTAAAACTTTAACATTGTCACATGTTGTTACCGCCCGTGATGGTATTTATAAATTAAAAATCCATTATATATGTGTAAAAATTTACCACGTTCTGGATACAATGTCGTTTGTTATACTCTGCACAAAGGTCATAAGTCGATTTTTTTCAACTTATTTATACAATGCATGAAATGAAACTTATCACACTATTTTAGACAAACTATAAGCAAATAATGATATGCCTAACAAGCAAGTAGTAATTATTTAAATGGTCATATAATTCAGAGTACTAATGAGGTTATCAATACAATAATCGATTTAGCGCTGATTACAGCGACTATTCTGAAGCACACGTTGCACTGCCGTGTAAATATCGACGTCTATCGAAATTAATCGTGTTAGTTATGTGTTTGATCATTGATTAATGATGCACTATATTAGTTGGATTATTTATTTTGTAGAAATTTGAATTATTTGATTACAAAATAATTTTCAAATAAGGTGGCGCTAGTTGAAGCAACGTCAAGGGGGAAAACGTTAATTGCCGCTAATGGCGACACAATTTTTTCTTAAATATAATCGAACCTATGTTTGCCAGACCTTGAACCGTGATCGATGTATAGGGTTAATATTGTTACATTGTTCCCACGGCTGGGATTTAGCCCTCCTACGCGTTTATATAGTTTTTATATTCTGAAAAATGCGGAGTAGCAGATAACGTCGCATTATTGCTACTATGACCAAAGACCAGATCGCAGAGGATGTTTCGGGTTAAACACAAGTAACTATTTTGGGTCACGACCAAGGATCGAACTTTAGACCTCACGAACTTAAGTGCGCATGTAACTGTACAAAGACGGCGTTCGATACAACCTTATTTGTACAATATATACCGGAATACAAAATATCATTTTAAATCAAAAGATGTGAAGCAGATTTTCGTTAAAATAATTCATTATATTAGAATGAAACTCTCTGAATAGAGGCAGCATAACAAAAACGTGAACATAAAGAGTGATAAGAACAATGCGATGGGAACTTGGTAACCTGAAAACAGTGAAAAGAAATTCAGGAGGTTAGTGATGATATCGCACGGATTGCGAAGCTGGGCGGACCTTTATAGCTCTAATTAAAACATTTTATTTATATAGGGCTGGGGTTAATTTTATCATCAAGGGGTTTTCCTACTTTCATAAATTATACTTAAAACGACTATTCATGACCACAGATTTACCCTAAAACGTTAAATGTCTGATATTCAAAGTTAATCTATGATGTTGATGTATATCCTTTACTACATAAATAAAGTACATATATGTACATGTCGACCTAAGATTGCAAACTATAAATCTAGTTGATAAATTGTAAAGCGGACTTATTTTTTGCTGACATTACATAGGTAGCTAGTTTTTTTTCGAATATATCGGCAAAAGATCAAGTCAAATGTCACTTCACCTTATGACACTTTGACAAATGTCAAATTATTAAAATCTACCTACATTCGTTACATCGTGAGCAATTTAATAAGTTAAAAGTTGATAATTATTCTGGGTAGTTTATAATAATGATATTTGTTACCTTTTTAATTCGTGATCTCCGAATTATAAACTTAGTCTTTAAACTTAAAGCTTTAGCTTAAAGCTAATTTTATAATTTAAACATGTTATGTATATCTATATTTCGTTTATAACATTTAACTTAATATTTTATTTATATAAAAATTTGTTGTTTAGTAATAATAAAGGTTCGTAAATTATAAATAAATAAATCTTTACTATAAGCAGCAAAAACTTCTACTATCGCAGGACAATGTATGTGAGGCAATCGTATAAATATCAACTTCAGTACTGACGAGGCAGAAAGAAAACAACTAATTATTTAATTCCAAGTCATTTAGCCTAGTATTACGGAAGGATTATTCACGCGCCATATAGCACGGCATCACAGCGTTCCCGCGCCATCACGGATCGCCCTGACTTACTATGAAGATTACAAGACCAGTGATGTTTATGGCATACTAGTTGCGGCACGCGGTTTTTTTTTTCATATACACCAATAAAAGCTTTTCGTTCCGTTAATTGATGAATAAGACTGTTTCTACTCTACTAAATATATATTTTAACAGCAGTATTAACGATTAATAAATTCATAAACAATCATGGGAGCACTTTTTAGTAAATGGAGAGTTAACTAGACCTATTTTTCCACACATTTCTGAAAATAATTCAAGGAAGAATTATAACATTTTCTCTTGAATTTTAAATGTGTTATTAACACTGCTGGTTATTTTATTACGTATCTACAATATATAACATTATATTGTTTATTCTTTCTCTTTTAGAAAGGTTTTTTATTTTGTCTAGCTAACGAATTATAATATACCAAGAAACATCAATATGACTATTGCATTGGATTTATTAGGTCAATGGATGTTTGTTGTATAACGCTTGTAAACTCATTTTGCATACACTCAACCGCACAATGGAGAATGTATGTCATACTAAATTACGTGTATCTTTATTTACTCTATCCCTATATGTAAATGACATGTTATGACTATAAAATACGAGAGTTACGAAAACAATAGCGGGCTAAAAATATTATCCGACAGGAATAACGTGGACGTTTGCCAAATAAGGTTGGTAAAGTAATTTTAAATTTACGGAACCGCACAAGAGACTCGAATCTTTACACGTTAATTCACATGTGACTTTCAATAAATTGAAAATGTATTTTAAAATTTAAAAATTACTAAAATACTGGTGAGAATTAAAATATTCTCTAAAAAACTCAGAAGAAAGTGGGAAATGTGGAAAAAAGGATATTTTCTTTGTGGGTTTCCATCTACTACCCTCAAAAGTCAAGATAATAAAATATGTCGAAAAAATTTCCTTTTATATGTCATAAAAAATTGTTACTATACGTTATTTTAAATTAATCAATGGGGAGAAAAAAGTCCAAAAAGCTACATAGCTAGTCTAAATAGTTTTTAAATGTTTTAAGGCTTTAAAGGCAAGTTTAACGTGCTAGTGGTTACTAACCCAATTGATTTGCCAATTCATATCGATAGCGTTTATCGATTGGCACAGCGAGTAAAGCAGTGCGGCCTCTGCACTAACAGCGTACACCCTC